CAAGAAATTGGAAGATTACCTCGAGAGACAGCCGAATGGGTTTCAACTTTGATCGATCAAAAGATCTGCAAATTTGAAGGTATTTGCGTTTTCGCGCCTGACAGAGTCCGGGTCAACGATACAATATATCTGCAATTATGGTGCTATCTGCGTAAAGAGGCGTTTCTGCCTCGGAATCTTTGGGATATGAGCGACGACAACCGGTCAACCGCATTATTTGAAGAGCAAGAAAGCACCGAAGAGAAACAACTTCGACTTCGTCAGGTGGCGCTTGTGAAGCTCTTTGATGAAATTGGTCTACAACCGACCACTGTCAACGACATGACCAAAAAGCACAAAAAGGAAGGGCTGCTCCGTGCCGCGGAGATTGCGGAACAATACGACAAGACCAAGAAAGAAGGCAAATCGAACGAATCGTCCGAAGATGAAGAATCCCCGGAGCTAGAAGAAGACCAGCTCGATACTCTATACAAGAAGGCGCAGTCCTTCGATTTCAACATGCCAGAGGCTCAACCTCCGTCAAGCTTTGTGCTGAACCTGCGCAAGTACCAGAGACAAGCTCTTCACTGGATGCTGGCCAAAGAGAAAGATAAGAAGTCTGGCAGAGAATTGTCAATGCACCCTCTGTGGGAGGAATACACGTGGCCAACGAAAGACGTTGATGACAAAGAGTTGCCAGCAGTCCAGGGGCAGGCACATTTCTACGTTAATCCGTACTCAGGAGAGCTCAGTCTTGACTTTCCCGCACAAGAACAGCATTGTCTGGGTGGCATCCTGGCCGACGAAATGGGCTTAGGCAAAACCATTGAAATGCTGAGTCTCATACACTCGCATCGCAACGTGTCTCCGATCCGGGAGGGTCCAAGCTCTTCCACTGGGCTGGTAAGGATGCCTAGCTCTTCCAGCGCGGTTCTTCCTGCTCCCAACACGACCCTTGTCGTGGCTCCAACCTCTCTCCTGTCCCAGTGGGAAAGCGAGGCGATGAAGGCCTCGGAACCGGGAACGATGAAGGTGCTGATTTATTATGGCGCCGACAAATCCGCCAATCTGCAAGAGCTCTGTTCTGCTGGCAATCCGGCTGCGCCTAACATTATAATCACGAGTTATGGCGTCGTACTGTCGGAATCCCGCCAGCTCGCAATGTTTAATCCCAATACTCAAGGTGGCTTGTTTTCTGTGGACTTCTTCCGTGTCATCCTCGATGAAGCCCACGTCATTAAGAATCGACGCTCAAAGACTGCAAGAGCTTGTTACGAGCTAAAAGCGACACATCGATGGGTGCTCACTGGAACGCCTATTGTGAACCGCCTTGAGGACCTCTTCAGCTTGGTGCGGTTTCTACAGGTTGAACCCTGGAGCAACTTTTCGTTCTGGAAGACGTTCATCACCGTACCATTTGAGTCTAAGGACTACGTTCGAGCTCTCAATGTCGTGCAGACAGTCCTCGAGCCTTTGGTTCTCCGTCGAACCAAGACAATGAAAACACCCGAGGGAGAGCCTTTGGTGCCACTTCCACGACGCACCATTGACATTGTAGAAGTAGACCTTTCCGAGCAAGAACGCGAAATCTACGACTATATTTTTACCAGAGCCAAACGGACTTTCAACGACAACATCGAAGCCGGTACGCTCCTAAAGTCATTCTCGACAATCTTTGCTCAGATCCTCCGTCTCCGACAGACTTGCTGCCATCCTATCCTCACGCGCAACAAGACCATTGTAGCAGATGAGGAAGATGCAGCTGTCGCCGCTGATGCAGCTAACGAGCTGAAAGACGACATGGATCTGCAAGAGCTTATAGACCGATTCTCAGCCAGCATGGAAAACGCGGATTCGGCCGAGGCACAGGACCCGGGCGCCAAATTCACCACCCATGCCCTGAGGCAGATTCAAACCGAATCCAGCGGAGAATGTCCCATTTGCTCGGAAGAACCCATGATCGATCCCGCTGTCACAGCCTGTTGGCACAGTGCATGTAAGAAATGCTTGGAGGACTATATACGCCACCAAACAGACAAGGGCGTGCCGCCTCGGTGCTTTTCATGTCGAGCACCAGTTACCTCACGAGACATCTTCGAAGTGATCCGTCACCAATCGCCTAATTCGACTCCTACAGAGACCGATCTCTACAGCAGCACCCCTGCTTCCAGTCCGCAGCCAGCACCGCGCATCTCCCTCCGACGCATTAACCCTCTCTCGCCGTCAGCTCACACCTCCGCGAAGATCCACGCCCTGATCAACCACCTCACCCGCGTCCCGGCAAACACAAAATCCGTCGTCTTCTCCCAATTCACCAGCTTCCTCGACCTGATCGGCCCGCAACTCACCAAAGCCGGCATCTCGTACGTTCGCCTAGACGGGACAGTGCCGCAAAAGGCCCGAGCCGAGGTCCTCGCGGAGTTTAACAGGACAGAGATCTTTGACCAGGAGGAAATCGACGAGGACGAAGGGTCCGACACGCCCCGGGTGAGAACGTCATCCAAGAACGGCCAGTCGTCAAGCAAAAGCCCCACCGTGCTACTGATCAGCTTGCGCGCCGGTGGCGTCGGCCTCAATCTCACAGCTGCCAGTAACGTCTTCATGATGGATCCGTGGTGGAGCTTTGCGATTGAGGCTCAAGCGATTGATCGTGTGCATCGGATGGGCCAGCTGCGTGACGTCTCTGTGACGCGGTTTATCGTCAAGGACTCGATCGAGGGGCGCATGTTACAGGTGCAGGAGCGCAAGATGAATATTGCGGGGTCGTTGGGCTTGCGAGTTGGTGGTGATGGATCGGAGGATGAGAAGAGGAAGGAGAGGATTGAGGAGTTGAAGCTGTTGTTTGAGTAGTCGTTGGATACCATGGCAAAGTACGGAGTACATGGAGCTACCTTATTATATACCCCTTGATGTTGCTCCACGAGACTTGTTACGAAGGATTTACAGAGTACTGCGCGCAATATTTGCACATAATGACATTCAGAATAGTAGATGACGATCTCGAACGCGATACATTAAGCCGAAGTGCTACTCATAAATCAAATCCAACCGAAGCTCCAATCACTCAGTATTCCAGTCTCAATGATTGCCATGCTTGAACACCTTCCCCAGCCGCTCCTTCATATGTCCCATCTTATGATGGTGACTCCCCGAATCGCCCTTTTCATCCGTACCTTGGTCTATGAACCCGTTAGCTTATCCAGCGTCCACAGCTCACGCATACACAACCACATAAAAGGCAAATACTAACCAGTCTTCGTCTTTGACGGCTGCCCGTCCATCTCCTTCTCAAACTCATACGCATCCCGAGGCGCAGGACCCTGCGGCCCCTTCAGCGCCTCGACGCTCACCTGCTGGGTAGTGGTAGGCGGGGCGCGCTCAACACCGCCAGGTACGCCGCCGTCCTCCTTCTGCTGCGAGCTGCTGTCGCCGTCGGGCATAGTCTGGGATCGTTGTTCGGGGGCAGGTTTCTCGGATCCAGAGTGACTGCGTGAGTCGTTGCTGCTTGAGCTGCTTGAGCTGTTGCCGCTGCTAGTGGTGGTGTCGGCCGAGCTCGCGGTGGGATTCGACTGCTCTTGTGCGGGCGAGGGTTCGTCCACGGCTGGGTTGCCGGGTCCGGGTTCTTGGTTGGTGTTGGGGGTAGTAGATTGCGACTTTTCCTGTGCAGGTGCAGGGGATGGCTGCGGAGCTACAGGGAGAACGGTAGCGGCCCCTGCTCCGGCTCCGGCCCCGGCTCCCTGGTCCGAGGTGCTGTGGGCGGAACTGACGTCCGTGGGCTTGACTTCGATGGGTGTAATGGATTCGAGTGGCTCGGGGATGACGGCGGTGTTGTCTTGAGTTTGAGGGGCGTCTGGTTGTTCTGTTGTGCAGAGTGTTTAGCCGCTGAGTCTCTACCCATAGTAGCATACAATGCCACTCGGCGACAAGATGTCGTCATGAAAGTACTCGGAACTCACCATCTCGGTTTCCAGCATCGTATGGATCATTCGGCGTTCCTCGACCCTGAACGCCGGCGACGGGCTCCTCGCCATGCTGAGCAGCAGATTCTGTGACTTCCTGTGGGCCGAAAGCGAGGTTTCGTAAGCCGTCTGCGGCATCGCGTACGGCCTTCTGTACAGATTCCATCTTCGAGGGTTGGGATGGTAGGACGATGTACAGTAGGCGGTTTACCTATCAATGACGAGGTCGGTAGCGCTCAACGAGTTTAGGTTGTTTCTCTCAAGCAATGCCAAGACTGAGGGTAAGAGTGGTAGACGCGTAATCATAGAAGTTGATCCAGTATCAGACGAAGGGTGGATGTCTTTAATAGATCATAACCATGTTAACAGTTTGAGAGGCAAGTGTAAGACGGTCTACGTCAGTGGAGTTGGTGGCTGTTGCAAGGTACAGGGATCACCAAGTGACAGGGCTATCATTTCCGTCTTGCTGCGATCGGTTTCATCGATGATATCAATTGGATTAGACTAAGCTATTAACTGATTCTTTGCGGTTGACTGCTGATCAGCTGGGGGGAATGGCATCATAGCTCTCTGATAGCTGCGTTGCTTGACGTCATAGCCACGTGATATCGTAATACAACAGCAGCAGTCAAAGAGGACAACGAGAGCAGCCAAGGGTGGAGGATTAATAACACTATGATACACGATAGGCCTAGATATGGACGTCTTCTGCAATCTTCTTGCTTGGGCTCTAATCATACCTGCATTAATGCCTGCACTCAACGTCATTTTATAGGATAACCATACTGGGATGAATAGAGAGGAACCGTGTGGACAGTAAATGTATGACGACTATTGGTAAATTCAACCATGCAGGAAGGATACACAGCAGCCTATCCTGAGTAAGCACCCTTTCCCATGTATGCTCCGTGAGGAAAACAGCATGCAGTTATAAAGTAGGCCCGGGCAAAGAGCACGGCTGATCGCAGGGACGCGAGCAAGAAACCAAAATAACATAAACCAATCGATAACAATAACAATAAAGACAGAACCAATTTCCACATATCTCCAAGCAATGATAGATCACTTGATCTTAGCTTCAGGGTTAAGAGGATGATCCGGGTCGTATCCGACACTCTTGACGATCCCCAAGCCCTTGGTTTTACCCTCCCGGAACAAGACTCGATCGCCAGGGGCCAAGAATTCCGGACGTTGGATGAATCGGAAGGCAACAAGCGCTCGATCACCGGTTCGAATGAAGGGGCGGTCAATGTCGATGACCGAGCAAGTCTGACTCACTGCGCCGACGTGTAGCATTGCTTGATACCTCGGTTTGATTGTCGTAGCGTGGGAAAGAATGAGAACTTTTTCCAAAGTCAGCGAGGGGAGAATCATATGTGAACAGCCAGATGATAAAACGTACCCTCAGCGATAAATTCTCGGTAGACCTTGGGAGGCTGTTCCAGTTTCTTGAGAACCACCATGCCCTTACGGACTTCTTTTCTACGAACACGCTTGAGAGCAAACGAGCCAGACTGTCCCGCAAAGCAAGCATTCACCTGGATCCGCTTGCGTTCAATCGACTTGATTGTAGTTGTGGTGAATTGGCCGAGAGAATCGGGGCCCACGAGCACCGAATCGCCAGCGTGAATCACTCCGGACTTAGCCACCCCAGACACCACAGTTCCGACGTGAGGAACAGAGAAGGTATCATTAATCAGGAATTCAAACGGCGCTTCGGTGTTATATTGGCCCCGGTGAGGAAGAATGTTCAGGAAAGTCCGTACCAGTTCCAGATTCTCACCGGTGACATTGGACACTTGGAAGATGGGGCAAATGCGCTGACTGACGAATTGAGTCGCGGTGTTGATGGTCTCCTCCATATCCTTCACGAATATGGGAATTTTCCGAGCGCCGGGGGACTTGAGAATCTTGGTCAGCTGAGAGACGGTCTCCTGCAGGATCTGTGGAGGGCAGATATCGATCTTGGTGATAATCACCATGACTGGCACGTTCAGAGCCAAGGCAATACCCAGATGCTCTTTACTCATACCAATCAGACCGTTGTTGGCTGCAACCATCAGTAGACAGTAGTTGGGGCTGCTGCTCAACATGCCAAAGACAGTAGTTCTCAAGTAGCGCTCATGACCGGCAAGATCGGAGAAAGAGATCACCTTCGCAGATCGCTTTCCGATCTCTTCCCAAGAAAGTTTGCGACCCTGCGAGCTGCCGACAATCTCGCCGTGGCTATCAAAGCCCATGATCTCCAGCCCGACGGAGCTGGTCCGACCACTCTCGACCTCATGCTTATGACGGAAGAGATTGATTCGCGCCCTGCCTCGTCCGTCATCGAGATTCCCCTTGACGAGGACTCCGAGCATGGTACTCTTCCCGGCATCAACATTCCCAACAACCGCTATTCTAATCTCAGCCATCTCCTCCACAGAATCCGCAGGCTGGCGGATCAGGACCTTGCCCCAAGCACCCTTGATCCGGTCATTCTTTGTTTTCGACTCCTCCGGGCCTCCCACATTGTGGGTAAGCAGGGTTCGACAATGCGCCGGGAGGGACTCTGCCGCCTCTCGTAGACGCTGCAGGGCCGTATCCCACTGCCCAAGGTCAAAGCCCATGGAGTCGCCACCATCCTCGAGTCCCAAGTCGAAGATGGCCTCCCCATGGCCCTCGTCAATCCGAGCCTGCAGGATACTACCCAGTAGCTGCAGACTATCTTCTGCTTCGTCACCCGTACCGAGCAGCAGGTCTTTCAACTTGGCCGTCTTCGGTGTATCGGATAGCGTGAGTTGGTCAAGGATATCCAGTTCCGCGTGGTCCTCGGTGGCGTGAGCTACGCTCGCGGTCGAGTAGCCGCTATCGCTCGGGGCCATCTGGGCCGAGCGACGCGACTGTTGCTTCTCTGCATATTCTGCAAATTCGCTTAGGGCCTTGACGGCGGACAGTTAGTAAAAAATTCAACGAGTTTTGTCACTAGATGACAAAGGCTGGGTATCATACTATCTCGCCTCTCCGCCGCTCCTCGAGAGAGAGTTTGGGACCCTGTGGCATGGCCGGATGCAACAAAAGAAAAGATCAAATCACAAGGCGCAGAGCAAATAGAAAAATGGAAATCTAATGGAGAATTCTGAAAGTTGTACTTTTGTTCAATCGAGTAAGAGATGAAGTCGCCTGTGGCGCATTCAGACACGTATTCGTATTATCATAATTCCACTATGAACGTTCGAGGCAGGCAGCGTGTGAGGACTTCACCAGGACGTAGCAAAGATCAGACGCGAGCAATTAATCATATACAGGATCAAGTGAGGTGTCAGGAACAAGACAGTGGAGTGGGTTGAGTCAGGCAGGTGGGAAAGAAGCGCTCAGTCGCGGGAACTGGGGAAGCTTTATCGATAGCGAGTCATCGCCGCCTCGGGGACCACGAGGAGTCCTTCGACTGAGTCACGGCGCTGCACCACATGAAGGCTGTGTCATAAGGCATATTTTCTATCTGATTCATCTAGCCATATTATTGGTGGATCGAAATCTATTTCCAGAGATTCAAGCGATGTTGTGACCGCTACTTTCATGAGGCTCTTCGTTAAGGTTATGACATAAGTCCTTGTACATCCTGTGCCATTATATTTCCGACTTTTCACTCAATGATGAATGGTGCAATTGCTCTGTTCGTTTGCAGAGAATATCGAAGAGATACCTAATGACCATCGTCTGGTTCCGTGCCTGTAGTCGCAACCCAGAATATAGCAGAAGGGATCTACATTGCCCTATACCGCTTTATATTCCATCAGGTGAACTGCGTGTCGTCCCTAAACCTCCTATTTGATGTTCTGCAATATCACGCCTGTGGAGAGATCAATACTACCGAGTCGCCTGCGTAGAAAAGTTCTCGATCAGTATGGCGGTCGAATATCGAGATTCATGGTTTCATTTCGAGCTCACCTCGTACAAAGAGCATCTCCTCTTGCTTCTTTATTGTCTGTATTCGGCGACCGACATGTTAGCTCATGTCCATGACCGATTGATCACAGCCTATCGCCATTTGATGGGAGGGTCCTACTCGGATGGTCTCCTCTTCATTCTCATCCTCCTCCACCACGTAGATGGTCTCCTCGACATCACCGAGTACAAGATTGCAGTGGCTATCGTATGCCTGCAAGAATACCATGTCAGATTCAGCATTGCGCAAAAATCGCCACCAGCACTCAGATCAACTCACGTGTAGACGACCCTTGAGCTCGCGATCGCCGCGGAGCTTCACGAAGACGATCTCATCGAGCGAGAGGCGGACCAGATCCAAAGGTTCGGAAACAGATCCAGCGCCAGTATCCTCGGTGTCGGCCATGTCTAGACAACTGGGTAAGACCGATAAAAGCTACCACCACAAAGAGGCTAGCTTGTAATTGGCGATGGTTGTGGTGGACAATTCGGGAGTAGATACGCCTGAGAGTAAAATCCGCGGGCACAGACAATTGCAGGGATTCCGCGCCAAGATTGCAGCGGCCAACCAGAAGAGGGGACCGAGTGCCTTGAGGCCTTACCCCGTGCGTTTCCCCTCACATTGAACAAAAAGGCACCTGCATAGTCGCGTCTTAGGAAGTGTCCTTTTCTAACATTCTTTAGTCCTTCATCTCTCATTTTCTCTAAAATCGCCCAATTTCATCAGAATAAATCGCTGCAAAATCAGGGCCCCATGAAAGCGCCTTGATATCAGCGAACTATACCCTCTCACGTGGTCTGCTCTTCATGTTTCGATCCATTATCGGCCGCTACGGGCGCTCTTATGGGTCCTCTCGACTGACGGGCTCCGCTCCCAGGCCCGCGCTTTGCCAGACACGGTCCCTGGCAAGCCATCCAGATTCATTCGTCGATCCTGAGTATCCAGAACAGCGGGAGCAGCATCTCGATCATCATCAGAATCATAAAAGGTCTCCAGGTTATCACCGGGAGGATGCACCGCTATTGTCTCAGTTTCATGCAATCAGGTCGACGCTGAGCACAGTCAGCGTGTCACCGGGTGACCCTGCTGAAGCACAGAAGACAGTGCCAGAAGAGCTCGAAAATGCATTCTTCTCGATTGTCCAAGATGGTCAACCGGACCTGGTCATGGACGCATTACTCGATCCCAGGTTTGAAGTCGTGGTTGGATCGTTACCTGAGAGCACCTTTGTAGAAGTCTTTCGCTTGCTGTCTCCTTCCTACTTTATTGATCCGTTTCGAGCAATTTATCGCGCGTTGCATCCGTCCGCCGTAGCGCTCAAAGGTTACCGGCAATTGGACAGAATCTTCGATAAGTTTGCTTGCAATCTTGCCTCGATCGTCTCGGTTAGACGGTCGGCGGGTCACACACTTGGGCTGGCAGAGTACACCCATCTCCTGGACTGTGCGCGGTCTACCGGAGATGCGCTGATGGCTGACCATGTATGGCATGCCATGATTCAGGACGACGTTATCCCCGATGTGCATTGCTACAATCACTACATGGAAGCCAAGATTTGGAATGGGGCCTACACTGGTCGAGAAAAGTACCGTCTGCGAATAACGCCGTTCGCTTACCGTAAGCGACGCTTCGACGATCCAGGCTTGGGATGGAAAGGCTATGGGACTGCCAACCGCAGTGTCCGTAAGGAGGTCATGCAAATTTTGACTGAGATGACAGAAGAAGGCACTTCGGGCGACGAGGCTACTTACGTGAATGTGATTCTGGCGTCTTGCAGGGTGGGAAACGTGTCAACAATGAAGCACGTGTTGAAGACGGTTTGGAACGTCGACATTGACGCCCTGGCGGCGCAGGGAGACCCATCGACTCTTCCTCGCCCCAGGGAATACGATCGTTCGTCACCTCTGTATCCAACTAGTCGCCTCTTGTTCGCCGTCGCACACGCCTTTGGCAATAACAACGACATTTCCGGAGCCATGCGGGCAATCAGCTTCATATCCAGCTCTTACGACATTCCGGTCCCAGAAGAGATCTGGCTAGAGCTACTCGAGCGGTCCTTCGTTCTTTCTCGCCCCCGTTTCGGTCAGGATGCCCTGCGCAATGAAAAAGGGAGGGTTCCATATGAGTTCCTGACCGCCCTGGTCCAAACCATGAAGTCGGAGCCTTTCAACGTCCAGCCCACCATGGAGGTGTACCAACTCCTGGCCAAGACAGCGTGGGACCAGGCCAAGCTACCAGATTTCACGCAGTACATGGAGTCAGCATACGCGGTTCTCGAAGAGACCCGACGCAAACGCCGAACGGCCCGAGCGATCGTCGAAAACTACCTGGGTCCACCTCGATCGAAGGAGGCTGCCTACCGCAGACCGCTCCAGTCTCGAGAATTTGCCGAGGCAGTGCATGCATACGACGTGCTTCGGATGCGCACTGCCCAGCAGACCATCATCATGGAACGCCTCGCGAAACTGCTCCTCATACACCCTCGCTGGGTCGGCCGCGACAACCCTGCCTGGGAGCGTCAACTACTTCCCCGCATGATCGAAGAGTGGCAGGACTTCCTTCCCGAGTCGATTTCCGTCCAGATCAGATGCGGGGACGTCGAATTCCACGGAGAAACTTACTGGGGTGATCCCCTGCTCAACACACACAGGAGGGTACCAGTCCGCCGGCCGACCGTCGATAACGGCCTGGTCCTCGACGAAGACGCCCGGGAACTCGACGACGACTTCTTCTGGGCGTGCTACCCTGCTGAATTGCGCGATATGCAGACCCCTGCTCTTCAGCGGTTGTTCTCGGGAGTGACGAAACGGCTTGCCAACCCTGTGAGACGGGGAGCTGTCCTAGACGACGCAGTTGAAGCCGACGCGCTGGACGAACAGGCTGGAGCTTTGCCTCATGAAGCGGAGTTCCCCTGGCAGAGACCGCCTGGGTGGACTGCGGACGACGAGGATGTCTTTGATCCCACAACTAGTCCTCTTGCTGTTGCTTGAGTGACCTCTCATGTTTACGGCGCCTTACTTGTACAATCCATTTCGACCTGGACCATGTTGTTTTTCTATTCTTCAGCTGCCAATGCTTGTCAGATACCCCATTCAGAGCGTATGTATGCCGTGTTCTGCTTAGCGATCACCGATACCACTTCTCATGTCATCGTCCATTTTATTCTCTTGTCAATCGGTGTCCTGGTGTTCATCTCATTTCCATTTGTGCAATGTACAAGTAAATACAATCGAAATCGGCCTCCCACAACGGAGATCGTACACAATCATACCCTCACCCTCCTCAAATCATTAACAACCATATATCTCCCCAGCGTAATCCACCCGTACCGAAACCAGACCATCTGGCTCTTATGCGCCTTGACCATAGCCGCCTGCGCGCGGATATACTCATCCACCGAACTGATGAACAGCAGTTTACCCGGCATATCATCCTTCCCACCCTTGGCCGCACCGGCAAAGATCGACCCCAGCGCCCCGCTCGCCATCGTCCACGGCGCATCCAAGACCCCAATGTACTTCCGTAGGATGTTCGTCGTGGTAAGCGTGTACATCGTCACGGGGCACGTATACCCGGCCTTGTCCTTCATCAGGGCACGGATGAAATGCACAGCACCGTGGTACAGCGAGCGGTGGTTGGGATGGTTGCTGATACCATGTTTGTCGAAGGTGATCAGGACGTCGATGGTTGCAGTCGGGGCGCCTGTTCCAGCAACTCGTTTCCTGGCCGCGGATGACTGCGGCTGCGACTGCGATTGCGAGGCGAGATCGGGGGCGAAGGCGGACGCGAGCAACGAGGAGACATCGCTCTCGGACCAGGTGGCTGTCATGCTATCCGGGAAGCGGGCGGGGTCGTCGACGATGAAGACGTCGGACTCGGCGCGGAGGCCAAGGTGTTTGGCGCTCTGTTGGAGCTCCTTTTTGCGGATGTGGCCGAGGCCGTCGGCGTCTCCTGTGGGGATCTGGGTTAGGAAGTTTGTGATCGGGGAGAGGGCGCGGCGGGGGGAAGCGTACCGCTGCTCAGACAGAGGATCTTCACATGATTCCCCAGCTCCGGTTTGGTCAATGCCAGGACCGCGGGGGAGAAGAACATGGCCTCATCGTCCGGGTGGGCGATTAGCAGGCATATCCGTTTGTTGAAGAGACGGGGGAAGTTGCGCGCAAAGGGGGACGAGCTGGTTGAGGAGAGGGTCCAGAAGAGGAAGATGGCGGAGAGGGTCAGGCCCCATGTCACCAGCGACGCGGTGAGCATGGTAGGGAGGATTTGAAGAGAAATAAAGCTCTGCAGCTATTTAATTATGCGCAAGATCAATTGACTTGCCCCGCAACCTGAGGTTCAATTGATGTAATGCAAAGCTGTCAGTGTCAACTTAGGCGGTTGCGGATTGCAGGTGGGGATTCCGCATCATCAACTCCACCGGTCAGTCTCAGCTTCTCATTTTTATCTGCTATCATCAGCAATGATAGTAGACCACATGAATCCGAAGACTGAGCTGATGTTCCACAGGGGCGAGAGTCGATCGCCCAATGGCAAATAGACACGGTGGCACAAATGGAAAGGGGAAGCGATCTGGCTCTTGGTGCAACTCCAGATACCTTCCCCTGGCGATCTGCGGATAATGTCACGTGACCTTGACATTGGACTCTTGACTGCTTCAGTCCTTCGACTTTGCTTGATGCAAGGTGAGTGCGTCTGTGCAGTGTATACTGGCTTTACTTTTATGTGCGATATACTTGCCAGTATTAGCTGCGCATTGAGAGCTCTATTCCATTCTTGGTAGCGCAAACTGATCAGGGTACAGTGGGTTTTAAAGATTTAGATGCAGCTTGCATGACCTTCATGAGATATAAAAGTAAACAGACCTACAATCGCCGTCATTCTCGGAGACTGAAAGGGACATAATATCGAGTTCGCCGATTCCTAGCTGAGATCTGAAGTGCACAGAGACCTCATCTCCGACGTAATGACATAACCGTCAGAATTGCCAATGAGGAAGACAATGCATTGCAGAAATGACACGATATTAGACAATTCTCTGATCGAAATTGACCATAACTCCAGCTAATGGCATGATCTTACGCATAACGTGCTGAGACGATTCATCAGGTGACCGATATCGCTCTGTCATCACGGCGTACCGACATGAGTCGTTCGAGTAGCCATCGGCGTCCTCCGCCAATTGGCCCGAAGAAGGAAAGTTGATGGTTCCAAGTCAGGGTCAGCAAGACGGTCCCGTCCGCATCTAACCACGGTCCAGATTCGTCTGATGATTGATAAATTGAGTGATTTATGGTACATGGGGCAGGTTTGAAGAGAAATTAGTCTACCGTATGGTGTGAAAATTCAGTTGAAAATAAACTAAACTGAGGCAATTGTGGGAAAAGACCAATAAGAAGGTCCGGTTCGACCTGGTGATGCGCGATGAAAAATTTCCGAGGAACCAAGTGAGAAACGGAATCCACTCGGTTAGTCCAAGGCGTGTAAATGGAATCCACCAGCAAGCCAAATCCGGGCAGTATCCGATTAAACACCTTTGAGAATTGCTGTCGGAGTTTGCCGCGGAGAGTTGCAAACTGCGAAGGAGGTTGTCCAATGTGCGCATACAGAGTAGGTAGATGCGCCAGGATCAGCAGTCCACCGGTATGAGGATGTGGACTTGGACTGAACTTGTTTTGAATGTGATTATAAATGATATACAAGACATCGAAGGCGTGTCTCCTACAGTGGTTATGATTTGATGGCATCTGGTATCAGAATAAGTGAACTAATTGTATGGTATCACTTGAAGTTCAGACCCATAATGGCAATATGCCTCAATCCTAGCTGACACTCAACTTCCGGAAAGGGCAACTTCTGCGCCAGATGGGACTCCATATAAAATCTCCATCGCACTTTCACTATATTAGCTAGTAAACGCACGAGGATGACTTAGAATCAGCATCGGCATCAATAATGGTAGCGTAGATCATGAACCGCAATGCAGTGAGCAACCCGACTAGATGGCATGATCGAGTCGGGTATGATGGTATCACTCGGAATGAAGGCGACTCGGGACGACAGTCATCAGTCGGTCTCCAGCAAGTGTTTAGCCGGAATACAGACGGATCTAAGCAGATCCTTTTTCATTTTGAGTCATAAACCCTGATTATGTTGACAGTAAAATCGAGCGCAAAGGAGGATGACTTCCAATGGGGATGGCGAAGAGGAATCTGTTAGGTAATTGGTATGGCGGCGATGCACGGCCATTCGTCAGGGAAGAGTTTTCCCTGCAGACCGACAGCGCACAGAGCAGGTCTTGACTCTTGACTCTTGACAGCTAGGTTGTCTAGACCAAGGTTGTGATAAACTTTTGATATCTTCAAAATTTGTTCCTCTGATGAACATGAGAACGCTTTTGATCTCAACTCACCAGACAATATGTGGAAGGATGATGATAACAGAATCATGAGGTAGCGTCCGCCCCCTAGTAAGAAGCTTAAGAAAAGCAAACACAAGCCAGATGATCCGATCCCCCGCAAAATCTTGAATTGCATGCAGTGCGGGGAAATTTGATTTGGACCTCCGCGGACACCTTCAGTAGGCTCAGTTTGGTCTTTCGGATACTCAGCCTAGAATGGATGTCAAAGGGAGAATTGACAATAGTGGTAGAAACAATACCTCGCCATCCATGATCTGGAGACTTCTTCCACTCTATTTTCTTTGGAATTGGGCCACTCGTTTCGAATTCTCCCTTTTGGGTTCTGGTTTCTAGAACTGGAAAGATGTGGAACCTCACCGAGCCGTTCCCAAGCGAAAGGAAAATTCTGTAAAATTTTTTCTTTTTTTTCTAGACGCTAAGCTTAACCCGGTCTAGCTCGGGTAGATTCGTCTAGCGACTTCGCTCCGTTCTCTGGATGTTGCCCCTCTTGGGTGCGCAGTCCCAGAGGATCTTCAATTAGCGTTACGCCTTGTCGAGGCGTATTGTATTGTAATTCGGTGTATCGTTGCCGGTCACTGCTGGTAAGAGGAAAACCTTGCGCTAGACCACCTCCGGGAGCCCAAAACAAGCTACTCCTATTTCTCCGTACCTCGTGATTTTTTGCACTTTGGTACAAAGACTCAGCCTCGAGAAGGCGCCAGAGCACTGAATGACGCCACGTGATGGTTCGATGACGGCAGCTGACCTTCACCACAGCATTTCTGCCGAGCTAAAAAAGCTCCCCTGGTCAGGCGCTTGCACTTTTGGCTTGGTTCGGTCCATTCGGGCCTGCTGGACGGATAATCGGCCTGGTACAAAGCACGTTGTCAGGTGTCATATGCTTCTCTTCGTGTTGTCGACTTGTGGTTAGTCCAAAGGATCCAGAGCAGGTAGCTGTTCATATTTGCGCATCAACGACTTGCGTGTTTTGTTGTCGTGGCAGTTCTGATTCAGACCCATACTGAACCAATTGCGTTGGAAATTGTTGAGCATTGAATGTCTAGACCGTCCTGACTCAGCCATTTGCACCCTTGGTTCAGCTACGACAATTGTATATTGTTTTGAGGACCTTTATAGTCCGTATGCCTAGAGAAGTAGCGTAGTCTTCCAACAAGGTTATCAGGATCTACCATGGGTCCAACTTACTTGACGATATCCCGGAATTGATGACCGCCGGTCCATCACTCGCATTGTGACTCATTACGCACGGTGCTTCGAATCTGCTATGTTTGATCTCCAACATGATGATAGCCTTTAGATAGACGTAGAGGAAGTATCAACCAATTCCCCGATGCACCATAAAATCTGCATTCACAGCGTCGTTGCAGATTGTGGGGTATGTACCTTGGCTGAGGGCAAAATATACCAATGATTTGAGCGTATGATTGGACGTTGGAGTCACATGGGAGAACGAGACGATGGATCACCGATCTTGTGTTTACAAGTCGTCCGCTAGACAAGGGTCTAGACGGAGTCCGAGAGTTGGTGATCAACGATACTGATGAATTTACAAGCCAGAGTAGTTGCGCCAAG